CCCCAGGGTGGTGGGGTGGTGGGGACTCAACCCTGGGGGTCCCAGAGCTGGGGGTGGGGGTACCACAAACCCCTGGGTATGTTGGTGCTGGAGGGGGGGGTGAGAAGGACCCCAGACCCCTGGGTACATGGGTGCCAGATGTGGGGGTGGGCAGAACCCCAGACCCCTGGTATATGGGTCCCCAATGAGGGTGAGTGGGACCCCAGACCCCTGGGTAGGTGGGTGCCAGATGGGGGGGTGAGCAGGACCCCAGCCCCCCAGGTACATGGGTGCTAGATGGGGGTGGGCAGGACCCCAAATCCCCAGGTGTGTGGGTGCCAGATGGGGGTGGGCAGGACCCCAGATCCCTGGGTACATGGGTGCCAGATGGGGGGTGAGCAAGACCCCAGACCCTTGGGTAGGTGGGTGCTGGATGGGGTGGTGAGCAGGACCCCGGACCCCTGGGTATGTGGGTGCTGGGTAGGTGGATGCTGGATGGGGGGGTTGAGAATGACCCCAGACCCCTGGGTACATGGGTGCCAAATGGGGGGTGAGCAGGACCCCAGACCCCCGGGTACATGGGTGCCAGCTTGGGGGGTGAGCAGGACCCCAGACCCCTGGGTATATGGGTCCCCAATAGGGGTGAGCAGGACCCCAGATCCTTGGGTAGGTGGGTGCTGGATGGGGGGGTGAGCAGGCCCCTGGGTGGGGGGGAGCCCCTACGAGCATCAGGCTGGGGACCATGTCTGCCCCAGAGTGTGGGGATGGGGGGGGGCTGGAGGCCAGGGTGAGGGGGGCAGAGCATGGGGTGCACTGGGTGCTGGACCCCAGGGTGGTGGGGTGGTGGGGACTCAACCCTGGGGGTCCCAGAGCTGGGGGTGGGGGTACCACAAACCCCTGGGTATGTGGGTGCTGGAGGGGGGGGTGAGAAGGACCCCAGACCCCTGGGTACATGGGTGCCAGATGTGGGGGTGGGCAGAACCCCAGACCCCTGGTATATGGGTCCCCAATGAGGGTGAGTGGGACCCCAGACCCCTGGGTAGGTGGGTGCCAGATGGGGGGGTGAGCAGGACCCCAGCCCCCCAGGTACATGGGTGCTAGATGGGGGTGGGCAGGACCCCAAATCCCCAGGTGTGTGGGTGCCAGATGGGGGTGGGCAGGACCCCAGATCCCTGGGTACATGGGTGCCAGATGGGGGGTGAGCAAGACCCCAGACCCTTGGGTAGGTGGGTGCTGGATGGGGTGGTGAGCAGGACCCCGGACCCCTGGGTATGTGGGTGCTGGGTAGGTGGATGCTGGATGGGGGGGTTGAGAATGACCCCAGACCCCTGGGTACATGGGTGCCAAATGGGGGGTGAGCAGGACCCCAGACCCCCGGGTACATGGGTGCCAGCTTGGGGGGTGAGCAGGACCCCAGACCCCTGGGTATATGGGTCCCCAATAGGGGTGAGCAGGACCCCAGATCCTTGGGTAGGTGGGTGCTGGATGGGGGGGTGAGCAGGACCCCAGACCCTTGGTGTGTGGGTGCCAGATCGGGATGCCCAGGACCCCAGACCCCCGGGTACATGGGTGCCAGATGGGGGAGTGAGCAGGACCCCAGACCCCTGGTATGTGGGTCCCCAATGGGGGGGAGCAGGACCCCAGACC